CTATTATGATGCAAAGAAGTATCTTAACAAAACAAATGCCCTTTTTCTGTTTTAAGTGCTTCAGCTAAATATTTCAATAATCGCTAGCAGAACCAGGAGCTTCTTTCTTGTCTCTGTTCTATGATAGATTTTAACAAGTTCTCTTGAGACTATTAAAATGTCTTGTTTTTTAGGACATGTGGTCCAGCAGGGGTAACTTTGTCTACAGAGGCAATGAGTTGGCAGTTAGATTTTGCTTGTCTTCTCATTTCTTTCCAAATCCCTGACCCAGGGTAACCTTTGGATCCTCTGTGAAGGCAGCAGTGAAGGAAGTTTGAACAGGTGACTGATGATCAGTGCCTATAGGGTCCGCAGACAATATGTGAATGACTTTAGCAGTCCTCTCAGTCCCCTCCTCCCACTCCCACCCCCTTAAACCAACAAATGCAAAGAGCTTCATCCCCATTTGCTGGAAATTCAGGCTTCCTCAGGCAACTTGGGCTTTGTTGTTGACTTCCTTTCTTCTGAAAGGCAGTTTTCTTCCTGGTAAGGGAGGAGGCCCATGAGTGGAACCTAAATCACCTTTATGGTAAGTGCAGCAACAATTTGTTCTCTGGAATATTTCCAAAGGTGGGATTACCCTCAAAATTTCTTCATATTGCAGTTGAAGTGTGGTTAAAGAAAGTCTGCTTTGTTAGCTTTTGTATATTAAACTTCCCAGTCATTTCTGTTATCTCAAAAACCCTGTTTTATTCTAAATATTACTTATTAATTTGTTAGCACTATTATTTGATTAGTCACTTTTAAAAATTGTTTTATGATACAAGGGAAAAGTCAGTCTGGTTATTTCAACCATAAAAATTGTTTAAATAAAAAAGGAACAATCTGATTGTAAGTTAGATTTGACCATTAAATCTACAGTTTATAATGAAAAGTGTTGCCGATTTTTTCCTGTAGCTTTGAGGAATATAACATAATTTTCATTGATATTACATGAGACTTAGTAAAAATATATTTATGACACAGAAATGTGGATACCATATTTTACCAAGTAAACATTGTGTCAATACATTAAATGTGCTTTGTGGAAAGTATAGCAGTGATTGCTATGATTGTTTTTAATACCATAATGGAAATCACTCCATAGAAGTCATTCAATAAGAAAAATGTTGTGGACTAAAAATTGAATGGCTTTTAAAGGCTTAGGTGATAGGAATTGACCTGAAACAACTGAAGTTGCTTCTTTTCATGTGAACATTTTTTTCCTGAAAATATTAAAGGTTTTGGAAATTTTCATCTTTTTTTAAATAATCTCATTGTGACCAAAATCTTGGTTCTTTTTTGAAATGAGCAGCTCTGAGGAGGAATTGTAGGAAGGAAAAAAAGAAGAGGCCTTCATGGGGAGCACCCTCATGAAGCTGAAGGGAGTAGTGTACAAAGCATCTATGATTGGCCAAGTAGAAAACAAGTATATTTAAAAACACTTAAAATTAAAGCCCTTCTAAATTCTGATTTTGAGCTTGTTCCTTCATTTTTATGATTTCCTTTCTAGGTTGAATACTTATGAGGTATATGACAGGATAAGAAAACCATGTAATTTCTAAATTCGATTTTCTTATTTTAATTTAGCATGTATGCCAAGAAAAGAGTCAAACAACTTAGCTGGACTTTTGTGTTTTAAGTTAAAGAGTTATCCTTTAACCTTTAATTGTGTTTGGGAATTTCTTTTCTGTAACATTTTTACAACTTTTGAATAACCATAAGAGAATATTCTGTTGAAATTAAGGTATGTTTTATAAGGTATATGAAGAGGTCCCCCCCCCTCTCTTTAAAATCTATTTATTTTAACTCTCTGTGCCCTGTTTTGAAAAGGGGGAGAGGGAGTGGATTGAAGCTTCAGATCCTTTCAGTATCTTTGATTTTGGTTTAGTTGTCCAGACATCATCTTGTTAAAGCTGCTAGGAAAGATGTGGCACCACTTCCCAAATTGGGATATTCTAAGAGACCCCAAAGACAGATCTTTTTTAAGTGAATGAGTTATTTATTTCTCTGTGGGAGTTACCTTTTATTATACGCCCAAGGTATTTTTAATTCTGTAAAACTATGGTTCTTGGTATTGAGAGGGAAAACTACGTGGGTTATCATGGAGACTCAGAAAGGACAATGGAGGAGCTTAGGTAACAGGCTGGACTTAGTCACACCATTGGACTCTGGACATTGACCAAACCATCTCTACTTAGTAAATGAGCAGGGAACTGCGCAGGTTAGAATAAGTAACTTGGTGCAAGGTCCCAGAGGATTAAAAGATGAGAAGGCAAGTCTCATTTCCATAAAAACTGGTACAGCTAGATACTACTATAAATTAGAGACCTTGTTTTCCTTTGTAACTTTTCTACTGTTGTCCATCCTTTCCTTTGTAGTGATTAGTTGACAAACAAATTTTTTTTTTTTTTTGTGGAAAGTGGAGAATGAAGGGGGCTTAAAAAGGACTTTTATGCTTATTTTGGGCACAGTAGGAAACCGAGAAGGTAAGAAGCAGTATTGTAGAGTGTGTGATGATAAAAGGAAAAGTGATAGGCAGAGACCTGTGCAAGGCAAGATTGAGGTGTGGGCAGTGTCTGACCAGGACAGAGTGCCCCTGCTACTATGAATGGAATACTGTGTACAACTGCTTTCGCAGCAGAGATGCTTTTATGATTATGTTCTGCTCAGTCAGCTTGGACCAGAACTATGGAGATGAATAGGTTGTCGAGAAGTAAAGTTAGCCCAGTGGGTGTGGCTCAGTGGTTGAGCATTGACCTATGAACCGTGAGGTCACCATTTGATTCCTGGTCAGGGCACATGCCCGGGTTGCAGGCTTGGTCCCAAGAAGGGTGGATTTTATAGTCATCAATGATATTCTAATGTTCTAAAGCAGGAGTTGGCAAATTACAACCCATGGGCCACTTCCTGCCTGTGAGCTAAGAATGGTTTTTATATTCCTAAAGGGTTTAAAAAGACAAGCAAATGAAGAAATGAAAAAGAATATGCAACAGAGACTGTATATGGCCTTTATATCCTAAAATATTTACTATTGGACCCTTATAAGAAGATTGCTGACCCTTGTATAGCACAGACCCAGAGAAAATAAATGCTAGTGTGATTTAGATGTGTGAGCTGACTTGCTGGATGTTGTCAGAGATTAAGGGGTAATAAAGTAAATGATACTAGTTAGAGGGTATTGGTGGAGGTGGACAGTTGGGTGCAGGTTGATAGGGAGTAAAGTAAAGCCAAAAGAAAGCTAAAAGATAGGGCTGAAATTGACAGGACTTGTGGCTATATTTCAAAGAGAATGAAAATTATGCTTAGTTCTTGGCCAGGTGTTTCAGTTGGTTGGAGCATTTTCCCTTATACCAAAAGGTTGCAGGTTCAATCCCCAGTCAGGGTGTATAAAGGAGGCAACCAAACGATGTTTCTCTCTCACATTGATCTCTCTCTCACTCTCACTCTTGCTCTTGCTCTATTTCTCTTTATCTCTATCCCCATTCCTCTCTGTCTAAAATAAACATATCCTCCAATGAGGATAAAAAAGGGAATAAAAGCACGGTCAGTGGATATGAAGCAAAGATGACAAGTAAGGATATTGGAGATATGGAAAGCAGGTACAGTTGGTTATCTTGGAGATAGAAGAGTTCCAGAAATTGCTAAGTATAACCATTTTAGGGAGGGGCTGAAATATCCAATGATGAGGTTAGGATGATGAAGTGTGAAAAATATGATGGTTAGATTACTAAAGATGATGACAGACTGTGTATGAAGACATAATGTGAATTTGATTACTGAAGAAAGTGGAAGTGAGAGTGAGAATGAGATGGATGATGGTAAAGAAGTAAGAAGAGACTGTTGTAAGTAGATTAATTACTCTAAATGGGGATGAGGAGGAATGACGGTGACAGTTAAGTGGTTCTTCATTTGCTCTGTCATCCAAGAGAAGAATTTTCCCTCTCCTTGACATGTGAGGTGATAGAAGGCAGATAAAAAGGCTGCAGGGAAGATATGGTATTCTTCATGGAAGGTCAGTCAGACGTACACTTAGTCCTTGAATATGGGAGGAGCAAAGTGGTAGATTGGTTTTCAAGTTGTAAAATGAAGCTCTCAAAATAAAAGCAGTTGATTTTTTCATAGATGTATAAATGTCTTATTTATATAACTCATCCTGTAAAAAAAACTTTTGTTTGACATTAGTACTCCTTATTGTGTGTACAATTCATTTTTAAATGAAGTTATTAAGGTATAATACTAAAAATATATATTTAATTGTGAACCTAGACTAAAGTAACAAGGCAGGTAATTGTCCTGCAGTGTGTCTTGTAAAACTGTATGGAGTGTTTGTGAGCCATTTGAAATATTAAGACAGTTTGGGTTGGGCTTCCAAATAACTAGTAGATATAAATCACTTGGGCTTGATAGTGGTCCTTCTATGACAATGTTATTGTGGCATCTATATTGTAGCATATGAAGCTTTGTTATTAGACATACATATACGAAGATAATGTGCCATAGCCATTAAAAATCAAGTGCAGGGGACTCACCTGGCTTCTGAAAGATAAAGCTGGAGCCATTGGTAGCTGTTTTATGTTCTTCTGTATGATAGGCAAAGTGATTCCTGCATATAGCATAATTAGTAGCATAATTGCATAGTATTTTATGAAGGAGGAACTTTTTTCTATTCTAAGGGCTAAAAATATGAGAAGCAGACAAAAGGTAAATAGTTAGAAATTTTCACTGCACTAAATTTAAAGTTATTGGCTCCTCTTATAAAAGCCTCTTTACTTTTTTTTCTGGAGAACTCAATTATTTCCTGATAATAAGGAATCCTAAATACCTAAAACATCATTTGAAATCATACCTTTATTTTAAGTGGTTTTCAATGATTTACTTTGGCATGTTTTTAAAGATTAATTTATATTAATTTTGAGTAGTAAAAAGACAATACCTTAATGATGTCATTTAATTTTATTTTTGTGTTTCCCCCCACTCAGCTACTAGAAAGAATACAGGTGAAAAACAGTCCTTCGTTTCCAAACCAATTCGCAAGTCAATGAAGCCTGCAAAGAGAGGTGCTGCAGCACTCCCGGCATCGGCACAGGCACCGGCACCGGCACCGGCACCAGCACCAGCACCAGCACCAGCACCGGCACCGCAGACCAGGAAGTCAGGACGGGTTAAACCTGGACGTCCTCCAGCCCCCAAGAAGGAAAGTTCTGCTAAAACTGTCACACAAAAGAAAAAAGCTCCCAAAAAGGTTAGTTGTGTCTTCTACTAATTTGTATTATAGGTCTCTGTAGTGCCTTATTATTTATGACATATAGTTTCGGATTTACTAAAAGTATGATGAAGCCCTTTAAGAGTTTACTAAGAAAACACACACACACACACACACACACACACACACACACACACACGGTTCTTTACGGTCAACATAGCCATTGAGATTGCTATTTCTTTTCTTGGGGAAAAGTAAAACTTTGAATAGTGTTTGACCTCTTCAAAACCACATGGAGATTAGCTGGCACTGCAGCTGTGAATCCAGTGCAGAGCTGAGTGGCCACGGCAGATACCTGATATTGTGTTCTGAGGAGTGGCCATTGGTGGGATGGAATGGTCCAGGGACTGTTTACACTGAGATGGACTACGGTCAGCATGTACCAGAGGTGGAAGTCCAATTCAGACGTAAGAGGACAAACGTAGAGGGTCTCCTCTATTGAACAACTGAAAGTGCCATCTCAGCAGCAGCAAGTGCCTATGGTGGACTTTGAGGTGGAACTGGGGCAGGCATTCTTAGCTAACACGCCAGGGGGTAGTTAAAGCAGTCTTGCAACATCCCAGGTAGATGATTCCAAGCAAAAATCCAGGCTCCACCTACTGTTTGAAGCTTCTGCCCCCAGCTTGCATTGTTTGTAGCAGAATCTGCATCATACCTCTTTGTCCATAGCCTACCATTTGTTCTTAAGGATGTAGAAACTTTAATGTAGACATTTGATTTGGTGGAATGGCAATCATAACTGTGGGAAAGACCAGCAAAATGCTGCAGAACATCGACTATAGAGTGAATGATATCCTTCAAGATGGCCAAATCTTCATTGGCACCTTCAAGGCTTTAGACAAAAACATATGGACTTGATCCTCTGTGATTGCGATGAATTCAGGAAAATCAACCCAAAGAATGTGAAGAAAAGCGGGTTTGGGGGCTGGTGTATGTGCCTGGGGAGAACTTGGTTTCCATGAGTGTGCAGGTATGTCCCTCCAAAGGTACTGGCATTGCTTGAGTGCCACTTGTTGGAGCTGCAGGAAGTGCTGGGGTTGGCAGGGCCACTGGCAGCGGAGTACCAGCTGGTGTTCCAATTCCTCAGGCTCCTGCTGGATTGCCAGGCTCTAAGGGGTTGGGAGACCATCCCAACAGGTAATGACTCCACATAGAAGAGACAGTGTAGCAGCTGCTACAGTTGCAGCCACTTCCAGTATTGCTGGAGCCCCAATCAGTACCCACCAGTCAGGGACTCTCCTCCGCCCCACATCAGTGGGCCAAGCAACCCCACCTCCATTCATTATTGCTTCTCCACCTGGTTTGAGACCAGTCATGGGATAACCAATTGGGCTTCTCCCAGCTTGAGGGATGAAGAAGTCCATCTCCCCCAGGAATAGTCCACCAAGACCCTAGGGCACTATTGATCCTTAGTCACTTTTTTTCCTGCAGTGTCTTGTAAAACCGTATGGACGGTTTGTGAGCTTTTGTCCCCACTATGCTGCATTCATATTTGCTAATAAATGCAATTAAACTGTGGGAAAGAACCTCCAAAACCACTTTGAAAGGACTGCATGGCGTATTTATCTTTAGACAGTTTACTTAAAACTCAGTATATTTTACAAACCAATCTGAGGTGAATTGTACTGTACATAAATTATACCTCAAACTGGGGGGAGTGGGGAAATCAATGTGGTCAATTTAATGATGCTAGATCTATATTCAACTGACTTCCTCAAAGAAAGCAACTCTAAAACCTGGAAATAATAGAAAAAGCAGCTAGCTGAAGACACTAGAGAATGAATGGAAACTGACAGACTCTGGGGTGGGGGTGGAGTGGAGTACACACAGTAGGAGAGGAGTTATACAAAATTTTGTATTTGACAAAAATACCCTTTAAGACTGAAGAGAAACTAAAGATTATATTTTTAGATAAAGCATACGTAGATAATTCATCACTGGCAGTCAAGCACTGTAAGAAAAGCTGAAGAAAGCTTATCTCTGGGTAAATATACACATGACTTACTTTTGGACATTTTTCTTCTTAGTTTCTTTAAAATAATGTAACTGTTTAAAGCAATAATTATAGTCTTGTGGGGTTTATAACATATATAGACATAATTCATAAAACAGTTATAGTATAAAGTTTTGGATTGGGGACGTGGATTTGTATCAATGTAAGGCTTCAGCATTTTATGTTAAGTAGTACAGTATTAACTTTATATGGATTGGACATTGTAATCCCCAGGTTATATTCTAAAAATATAAATGCAAAGAGGCATAGCTAAAAAAAAAACATTTAAGTAATAAAAAAAAGATAAGGAGGAACGGAGGAGCAAAACACAGAGTAGACAAACAGAAGACAGTAGATCCAGACATAAACACATTAATAATTATTTAAAAAACATGCATGAAGATTCGTGCAAGAATAAGCCTTTCTTCCCCTGGCTGCTGGCACCGCCTTCGCTGGTCCGGAGCCACCTTTCAGTCTTTGTTCAGGCCTGGAGCTGTCTTCACTCCAGCCAGAGCCGCTTTCCACCTCTCTCCTTGCATATTCCCTCCTTATTGGCTGTGGGTGCTGCCAGCTTTATCTCGGAGTTACGGTCAATTTACATACTATGTCTTTATTATATATGATTAGTGGACTAAACTGGCAGTCAGACATCTCTAAGATAGAATTTAAAAAGGTGAAGGGATTAAGCATAACAATATATCACATAGACACAATGAAATAGCTCCTAAGAAACCTCAAAAGTTGATATAAAATAAAGTATTAGTGATGTTTAATAATGCCCAGAGTACATTTGGTTCTTATATACAACTAGAAGCCTGGTGCATGAAAGTCATGCATGGGGAAGGGGGTCCCTCAGGCCGCCCTGCACCCTCTCCAGTCTAGGACCCCTTGAGGGATTGGGCCTAAACTGGCAGTCAGACATCTCTTTTGTAATCTGGGACTGCTGACTCCTAACTGCTCACCTGCCTGATTGCCCCTAACTGTTCTCCCCAGCCAGCCTGATAGCTTCTAACTGCTCTCTCCTGCCATCTTGATTGCTCCTCTGCCTTGGCTCCCACCACATGGCTATGTCCGGAAGGACATCTGGACTAATTAGCATATTACCCTTTTATTAGTATAGATAGGTGTCATTTTACATACAAGCCACTTGTAATGTCCGAATTATTTATATATATATATATATATATATATATATATATATATATATATATATGGCCTAAATGACCATTCATCTGGTAGCTATGATGCTCACTGACCACCAGGGGGCAGACGCTCAATGCACAGGCATGGAAACATGGAACAGACTGATAGGAATCTAAGTGAGGAGGAGGAAATGTGGGAAGAAATAAACCAAAGAACTTATATGCTTACTAGAGGCCTGGTGCATTTGTGCTCTAGTGTGGTCGCTTGGCCCGGCCTGCTGGGATCAGGCCAAAACTCTCAGTCAGACATCCCCTGAGGGGTCCTGTACACAGGCCTCTAGTCATATAATACAGAGAAATGCAGACTAGATACAGTAAAAGCCAGATGTGTGACTGCTTTCTAAAGACAACTCTGTGGTCTGTCTTATTGAAGTCCTTCACCCCCATTGAATGTATTCTTTCTGGATTATATTTACAGAGTTTTCTTTAGCAGTGTGAGAAAACTTGTCTTATAGAGAACCTCAAAAAGTAAAACAAGTTTTACAGTGAACTATTTTGGCTAAACTATTTTGGTTAAGGTGTGACCAGTTGGAGCAGCAGTAGCACTGGGAATTTCAGCTTCTTGGTCTCTTTTTCTCCCACTTGACCAGATCATGGGCCCCTCTGAGGAGCACAGTGTGAAAGTACTGTAGTTACACACACACATACACACACACACACACACACACACACACACACACACACACACACACAGAGGGGTTTCCAATCCTCAGAACTTCTGGCAACTGATCATGTCAGTGCTTTTCTGCACTTATTATCTGGGAATTTTTTTTTTTTTAAAGAATAATGCATACTTGGGTTTTTTGTTGTTGATTTTTTTTTTTTTTAAGCAGGAAAAAGCTATTCCTGTTGTGTGCTCCACATCTACAACTTCTGTAAAGATGCTGACCAGAGGCCGAGGTGTTGAATATAAGGAACCCAGTCCTGGGTCATCTAAAATAATGATGTCTACAGGTAAATTAGTATTTTTTAAAAGACTATAAAATCACTAATCTTTTATTATGTATTATTTTTAGTACATTTGAAGTCCTGGAAGTAAAACAATAGGATAAAAAACAATAATAAACATTTCTTTAAGCAGTTTTCATGTTTTTTGAAATTCTGATTGTTCATTTTGATGTTAGTGAAAAATAGTCTGTTTAAATACATGAGTCACTCAATACTCTTAAAAGTTTTTTTTAATTAAAAAAAATACATTTTATTGATTTTTCACAGAGAGGAAGAGAGAAAGATAGAGAGTTAGAAACATCGATGAGAATCATCGATCAGCTGCCTCTTGCACACCCCCTACTGGGGATGTGCCTGCAATCAAGGTATATGCCCTTGATGTGAATCGAACCTGGGACCTTTCAGTCCACAGGCCGACGCTCTATCCACTGAGCCAAACCGGTTTCAGCCCTCTTAAAAGTTTTTATCCATCTTAATAAGATTTATAAACTTCACATTGTCAAACTTATTTTTGTTTTTCCTTTCTCTCATTTCACAATTTGTCCTATTGTCTATTTGTATTTTTAAAAAGCTACCTCAAGCCTTTTTTTTAGTGCCTTTCAAAATCTTAACAGATTATTGTCTGTTAAGGGGCATGATGCCTTTAAATTGTTCTCTGCTTTGTGAAGAGTATGAAATGACCAGAGCCAGACTAATCAATTTCTTCTATCTGTCATCTCCTACACATTTTCTTATTCCTTTTCTATTTTTTAAAGCATGCTCCACCGCTTCCTCTCCTAGATTCTTTTTTTTAATTTTTATTTTTTATTTATTTATTTATTTTTAAAAATATATTTTATTGATTTTTTACAGAGAGGAAGAGAGAGGGATAGAGAGCCAGAAACATCGATGAGAGACATTGATCAGCTGCCTCCTGCACACCCCCCACTGAGGATGTGCCCACAACCAAGTACATGCCCTTGACCAGAATCGAACCCAGGACCTTTGAGTCCACAGGCCGACGCTTTATCCACTGAGCCAAACCGATCTCGGCTCTCCTAGATTCTTAATAACTCTCCTATGCTTTTTTGTTCCCTGGACTTAGTACCACAATTTTTCTTTACTGACTAAAGAGAAATTAAATCTTAAGTTTTTGAAATGAAAATCACTTTTAAAAATGATTATTGTAACATACCTCATTTTATCAGTTTATTATTTCTGATTTTTAGGAAAGACTAGTAAAATGAGTATAATGCAAAGGAGGTTAAGTTTTTTTTATTGTTGTTTATTTTTGTGAGAGAGTCCATCTTTTCTCTATTGCCAAAAGTTGAATTATTATAAAATTCAACATAGCGAAGGTTAGATTAAGGTTTTTTTTTTATTAGACTATATATATATATATATATATATATATATATATATACACTTTACAATTTAAGTAGTGGGTAACGAATAAAAATAATGTGATTGATTTTTTGTTTGGTAATGTGCCATCATATTGTGACCTTGTTGATTTTTTAGTTTCAGTGAACAAAAATTGACATTTCTGTAAGTATAGGTGATTTGCTTCTGAATCATATGTTTTTATTATACTAAAGAAAGCATTTATTTTTAAATTTTCTTCAGTGAACCTTGATATATATATATATATATATATATATATATATATATATAAAGAATATTTTTATTTTCTTAAAGTTAATAAAAACATTTCTCTAGGTCATTAGAATTTATCGTGACGTACGTCTTAAGTTATCTGATTACTTTAGAAAATGAAATAAAGGTACAATATTGCTGATTTAAAAATAAATTCAGTCCAAAATGAGTGTTTTTTCCAATTACAATTGACATTCAATATTATATTGGTTTCAAGTATACAGCATAGTGGTTAGACATTTTTATAATTTGTGAAATGATTCCCCCAATAAGTCTAGTACCCACCTGGTACCATACTTAGTTACTACAATACTAGAGGCCTGATGCATGAAATTCATGCAAGAGTAGGCCTTCCTTCCCCCAGCTGCCTGCACTGGCTTCCCTCTGGCACCTGGGAACCAGGCTTTCCTCACAGAGGGAGGCCCCGCACACCTGCCGCAGTCCACTGGCCTGTTGCAGCCATGCTGGTCATGGCTTGCCTCGCCCCTCACAGCCCCGGCTTTGACATCCAGTCTAATTAGCATATTATGCTTTTATTATTATAGATTATTAACTATATTCCTTATGCTATACTTTACATCCCTGTGACTATTTTATAATGGCCATTTTAAAAATTAATTATCACATGAGAATTTTTTCCCCGTTGATTTTTGGAGAGAGTGGAAGGGAAGGAGGGAAGAAGAAGCAGAAGAAGCAGAGCAAGAAACAGAGAGAGAAACATTGATATGAGAGAGACATATCATGCCCCAATTGAGGCAGTGGATGGAATATGCAACCCAGGTAGAGCCCCTGACCAGGAATGGAACCTGCTACTCTTCGTTGCTCTGCCCGACACCTTAACTACTGACCTACACTGGCCAGGGCAGTAATGGATATTTTCTTTTTCTTTTTTTTTTTTTTAAATATATTTTATTGATTTTATACAGAGAGGAAGGGAGAGAGATAGAGAGCTGGAAACATCGATGAGAGAGAGTCATCGATCAGCTGCCTCTTGCACACCCCCTACTGGGGATATGCCCGCAACTAAGGTACATGCCTTTGACCGGAATCGAACCCGGGACCTTTCAGTCCACAAGCCGACGCTCTATCCATTGAGCCAAACCGGTCCCGGCTATTTTCTACTTCTTGATACCTTCACCTTTTCACCCAGCTTCCCAACTCCCCTCCCATCTAGCAACCATCAATCTGTTCAATTATATATATAATTGAATATATATTTATGTTTCTATTTACTAATTTAATTGTTATTTTTGTATACACATTTTTTTTTCTCAAGTGTGTGTCTATGTAAACAAACATGGAGACTGTGGCCCTTACCTGGATCAGAATAAAATCCAGCGGCTGCCTGACCACTTTGGCCCGGGCCCTGTGAACGTGGTGCTCCGGCGGACTGTGCAGGCTTGTGTGGATTGTGGTATTGACAGTAAGACTGTTTTTGGATTCCTTAAGGCAGATAATCGTGGAGGAGAAGTAATAACTGGTATGCTCATCTAATTCTTTATTCAGCATTTTTTCTTAATTTGATTTTCAGAAGGCAAACATTTTATAATACTTATTTTATAATATTTCTATTCTTTTAACTTTATAATATTAGGATATTTATTATATTGCTATAATAGAATATTTATTATAGTTACATGTTTATAGACTTGTAACCCAGTTTAACTTTACTTTTGAAATAGACAGTGTCAGAGTAATACTGTAACTTGAGATAAAAGGTACAGATATTTTTTCTTTTACCTGCTTTGTTAAGCTCATTATGTACACAGTACCTTAATGATAATATATTTTAATTTTTTTAAAAAACAGACTGATGCACAGTGCTCGCTTCGGCAGCACATATACTAGAAAATGGACTGATTCATAAGAAGCTCTAAATGTGACTCAAGAAGTGATTAAAAGATAAATACAGCTTTAATGATTTTGGGATCAGTTACTATGACATTTGTATACATGGAATATTTGAAATAGTAGAAAGTGTTTTTATAGATGAGTGAGTGGGTTTCTGTGGTTTTACGGATATTTTTAAATGGGAAATGATTTCACAAATATAGGTTGTTAGGTTTTAATGGGAGGAACTTTTATAATTTAAGATGATTCCTTCATAAATTACAAAATTCCCACAAATTATAGTTATATTACCTTTCCTAAATGTAACATGATGGCTTTTTTGATAATCGTAATTCTCATCTTTCTGTGATGTAATTCTGATACCTATTTTTTCTTTCACTAGCCTCCTTTGATGGGGAAACTCATTCCCTCCAGCTCCCTCCAGTGAACAGTGCATCATTTGCTCTTCGCTTTCTTGAAAACCTGTGCCACAGCCTGCACTGTGATAACCTTTTGAGTAGTCAGCCTTTTAGTGCTTGCAGAGGTAATATTCTTAGTACCGCAGAGGATGATAAAAATAAACCAGGTAAGAGAAAATGTAAAATTTTATTACGTGCTTCTGCTTTATATTACAAATTATAATTAACTCAAGAATCTTGTTTAATGCAAAGTTTTTCATTGTGTCCTCCTCAGAGTAAACATTTTATCTCCAATGATAATTAGACATGTAAAATATACTAGAAGCCTGGTGCACGAAAATTCATGCACTTGGGTTGGGGGTCCCTCAGTCCGGCCTTCAATCTCTCACAGCCTGGTGCCCCTTGGGAAATGTCTATCTGCTAGCTTAGGCCCGTTCCCCGGGGGATCAGGTCTAAGCTGGCAGTCAGACATCCCTCTGGCAGCCTGGGAGCCCTCGGGAACGTGACTGCCATCATTTAGACATCCATAGTGCTGCCGAGGAGGTGGGAGAGGCTCCCGCCACCTCTGCTGCTGAGCTTGCAGCCATCAGCCTGGCTCGTGGCTGAGCTGAGCTCCACCTGTGAGAGCGCACTGACCACCAGGGGGCAGTCCTGCATTGAGTGTCTCCCCTTGGTGGTCAGTGTGCATCATAGCAACTGGTCGGTCCAGTTAGATCAATTTGCATATTACCCTTTTATTATAAAGGATAGTTACAAGAGGCCCGGTGTACAAATTTGTGCACCAGTGGGGTCTGATGGCCTGGCCTGTGGCATCGGGCTGAAACTGGCTCTCTGATATCCCCCAAGGGTTCCTGGATTGGGCGAGGGCATAGGCCAGGTCAGGAGACCCCACCGGTGCATGATTGGGGCCAGGGAGGGACATTGGAGGTTGGCCAGCCATTGAGGGATCCTGGGAGGGTTCTAGGGTATGTCTGGCCCTTCTCGCTCAGTCCCAATTGGCCGGACCCCAGCAGCAAACTAACTTACCGGTTGTAGCGTCTGCCCCCTGGTAGTCAGTGTACATCATAGCAACTGGTTAACCGGTCAACTGTTTGCCCCTTGGTAGTCAGTGCATATCACAGTGAGTGGTTGAGCACCCTCAGCATATCATTAGTATATTACACTTTGATTGGTTGAATGGATGACCGAACGACCAGACACTTAGAATATCAGGCTTTTATTATATAGGATTTTTGCTCAAAGTGAGAAAGCAATTTCTTTTTGTATTCATAATGACCTTGAGAATCAAAACCTGAAGATATTTCATTGTGGTTTGATTTGCATGGTGACATCTATCTGTTCATCTGCTTATTGGCTATTTGTATATCTTCTTTGGAGAAATATCTATTCAAACCCTTTGCCCATTTTTAATTGGGTTCTTTATTTCTTGTAAATATATTTATTATATATATAATAAAACAAATATTATATATAATATATAATAAAATTGTTTATTTTTATTATATATATTATATACATATTTACTTGTTAAATATATGTATAATATACAAAGGATATTTTATACATACAGTATACAAGTTCCATATTAGATATATGGTTTGCATATAGTGAGAGGGAGAAAAGTAGGTTTATAGTTGTTCATTATGAAAAATAATACAATAATTATTAACTGATATTAAAAGAATAAATTCTGTTTTGCATGCTCACAATTGTAAACCTACTTTTGCCCCACCTTGCATTTCCCCCCATCCTATAGGTGTCTTTTCACTATATTTTATTAATTTTTTTTTTTACAGAGCGGAAGGGAGAGGGATAGAGAGTTAGAAACATTGATGAGAGAGAAACATCGATTAGCTGCCTCCTGCACACACCCCATTGGGGATGTGCCTACAACCAAGGTACATGCCATTGATCAGAATCGAACCTGGGACCCTTCAATCCGCAGGCAGATGCTCTATCCATTGAGCCAAACTGGTTAGGGCTCTTTTTACTTTCTTGATGGTGTGCTTTGAAGCACTAAAGTGTTTAATTTTGATGAAGTCCAATTTATCTTTTTTGTTTGTTTTTTGTACTTTTGATATCACATCTAAGAAAACATTGCTTTAAATCATGTTCACAAAGATTTACTTTTGTATTGTCTCCTAAGAATTTTATAGCTATTCTATTTAGGTCATTGTTCTATTTTGAATTAATTTTTGTTTTTGTTTTTGTTTTGGCACAACAGATGTTTTACTTTATATAATAGTTGAAGGTATCTTTACTTACTATGACTTTATAAATTATCAATATAGTCTCCTTATACATGGTTAAGTTACCCATGGTTAACTGTGGTCCAAAAATATTCAATGAAAAATTCCAGAAATAAACAATCCTTAAATTTTAAATTGCACATTCTGTGTACCATGATGAAATCTCACTTTGCCTCGCCTGAGATGGGGATCATCTCTTTGTCCAGTGTGACCACATTGTATATAATACCTGCTAACTATTCACTTAATGGCCATCTCAGTTATTAGATCTAATGTCATGGTGTCGCTGTGCTTGTGTGTGTTCAATTAACTCTTAATAGTAGCCTAATGCTACATCACAATGCTACGTCATTCAGCTCACTTCAACTCATCAGATAGGCATTGTATCATCTTACATCATCATCATCAGAAGAAGGGTGAGTATAGTACAATACGGTATTTTGAGAGAGAGACTACATTCACATAACTTTTTTTTTATAGTACATTGTTATAGTTGTTCTGCTTTATTATGATATTGTTTTTAATGTCTTACAGTGCCTAATTCATAGATTAAACTTTATCATAGGTGTGTGTATAGGAAAAATTATATATAGGGTTTGATACTGTCCATGGTTTTAGGCATCCAGAGGTCTTGGAATGTACTCTTCATGGATAAGATGGGACTCTTGTACTACCTAGGGTTCTTTAATTTCAATTTGTAGTCCCTTTAGTATTTCTTGTAGGGTATCTCTGCAATTGTGGAATTCTCTGTTTTTATTCGCATTTATTTGATGCTGAATTTGCTTCTAGGCCACAAGTTTTTGTTTCTTTAGTTTATTTTGGAATAACTTTTTCTTCTTTGCAACCTCCTCTTCTGGTTTAGGAAAAATTTCCTTTTTCAGTATGGAACATCTCCATGTGGCAGGGAGAGCTCATGTATGTGTTAATTTGCCCATTAGCTCTGTAAGTTCTGCACCACATCTTGGGAGATTTATTCACTTGGATATGGGCATTGACCAGAGAATCTAAAGCTAAAACTCTATGTTCAGCATTATTTTCTGCATTCTTAAGCATACACGGCAAAAATCATCGATCTTTTTGGGTCAACAGTGCATCCAGCCCCACTGTTTGGCCTAGCCAGTGGTCAGCAAACTCATTAGTCAACCGAGCCAAATATCAACAGTATAAGGATTGAAATTTCTTTTGAGAGCCACATTTTTTAAACTTAAACTTCTAATGCCACTTCTTCAAAATAGACTCTCCCAGGCCGTGGTATTTTGTGGAAGAGCCACATTCAAGGGGCCAAAGGGCCGCATGTGGCTTGCGAGCTGCAGTTTGCCGACCACGGGCATAAGCACACCTACCAACTCCACCATTATAACAGTAGAATGTTATATGTTGCTCTTTGTAAAATGACATCCTTCAGATACTTGGTAGGTTTTTGGATTTGCATATCCTTGATGACCTGAGCAATTTCAGAAGGGTTCTTATAGTAAACACGAAGATTTGAACCTCTTAATTTGCATGATTTTATGGGTCAAGTGAATAGCGAAACAGTTTAGAGGCCACCTTAGACTGCTTATGGGAATAGTCTCAGTTTTTGTTTATGGAGAGTTTATTTTCCCCTTCATTGTTTAAAGATTGCTTTTGCTGAATGTAGAATTCTTGATTGACCATCTGTTTCAGAGATTTGGATGTGTTATCCCACTTCCTTCTGTAGTTTGTGGTTAGTGGCTAATCTTACTGAGACTCCCTTATATGATTTGCTTTCTCTTGTTGATTTCAAAACTCATTTTGTCTTTTGCTTTTGACAGTTTTTTTCTAGGTGTGGATATCTTTGAATTTATTTTTGTTGGATGTTGGACTGTTTTGGATATGCCGGTTAATGTTTTTCATCAAATTTTGGAAACTTTTAGCCATTATTTCTTGCTTTCATTTTAACATACTGATTTAGAGAGCAAAAGAGGAAGGGAGGAAAAAAAGAGACATCGAGTTGTTGATCCACTTATTTATGCATTGGTTGATTCTTATATATGCCCTGTCCAGTAATGGAACCTACAATCCTGGTGTATTGAGGTACCATTCCAACCAACTGAGCTATCCAACATTTCTTCAAATATTCTTTCTGCCCCTTTCCTGTCCTGAGACTCTTCCATTATATATATTTCATCATTCTAGATGATGTACTACAGGTCTCTGACATCTGTTCATTTTTCCTCATTTTTTTTTTAATCCTCAAACTATATAATATCAATGGACATTTCTTTAAATTTGTTGATTCTTTATTCTTCTAGTTCAAATCTTCTGTTGAGCCTAGCTAGTGAATTTTTTATTTCATTTACTATACTTTTTTTAAAGTCCCAAATTTCTTTTCACTTATTTTTATTGCTTTTGGTAGTCTCTATTTGGTGAGACATTGTTCTCATACTTTCCTTAGACATGATTAAAAATTTTTTTGAACATATATAAAATAGGTTATTTAAAGTCTTTGTCTAATAAGTCCAGTGTCTGAACTTCCTCAGAGGCAGTTTCTATTGACGTTTTCCTTCCCTATGTATTGGGCCATATTTTTCTATATTTTTGCATGTCTCCTAATTTTTTAGTTGAAAACTGGGCATTTTAAAATTATATAATGCAGTAATTCTGATAATTAAATTTTCTCCCAATCTATAGGGTTTGCTGTTGCTATTGTTGTTTATCTAGTGACTTTCCTGAACAAATTTAATAACTTTTCCTGAGCTAATTTTGTCATGTATGGTTACTGAAATCATCTCAGTTAGCTTAGTGGTCAGGGAATTCCTTAAATGTCTGGAACTGGTATGTCTCCCAGCCATAGGAATTTGTGTGTGCGTGTCTTGGGACTTATCTTCAGTACTCCAGGGGCAGTTTACAAGTCTGCTTTGTGCAGAGTCTTAAGATCAGCTAGAAAGGAAAGATTAGGGCCTTCTCTGTACTTTGCTAAGCATGCATAAGGCTGTCTAGATTCCCAGGAACATCTCAGTGCTTTTTACCCTAATAGACATCTTTCTCCAGTTTCTCTTTTCAAGCTTTTTGATTAGTTCCTTATTAGCCCCAACCTGTACTGCTGCCTTAGGCAGCTGCAATGTTAAACAATTGCCAATGTATTTTTTAAAAATATATTTTATTGATTTTCTACAGAAAGGAAGAGAGAGGGATAGAGAGAAACATCGATGAGAAAGAATGATCGATCAGCTGCCTCTTGCACACCCCCTACTGGGGATGTGCCCGCAACCAAGGTACATGTCCTTGATTGGAATCGAACCCGGGACCTATCCACTGACTCTATCCACTGAGCCAAACCGGTTTTGGCTAATGTATTTTTTTTTTAATGCCTTGGAGATAGGGCTGTTCAGACAGAGCAGATTCTGATTCAGGTCAAATACAACAATCCCTGAGATCAGAGCTATTAACTTATCTGCAAGATTGCTCAAATAGTGACAGTTCTCTGTGGCTGTGGCTGTTGGAGAGTTCCAAATTCATCATGTCCTCACCAGTAATGTCTAGGCTACTGGTTTTCATAGCTACTATAGTTGTGAAGGTGTTTGTTTGCAAATCTGCTGCAAAACTGGGATTAAGGGGATGGTATTAGGGAAGTTAAAATGACTTTGCTGTTCTTTCTGAGGTTCAACCAGTTTTTTCTTGAATAAATTATTTTTGATTGCTGTAATACTCTAGTTAATATCCAGAGTTTTGAAAAAGTTGATTTTGCCAGTGTTTTCATTATTTTTATAAAGGAGTGAATTTTCAAAAATCATTGATCAGTCCCCCTGAAAGTGCCTCTCTTTAATGACTTTTTAAAGTATTTTTTTTAGTTGTCTGGATTTTTCTAGTTACCTCTACAGGAATAATTTTATGCCTGAACTTACTCTAATACCCAGAAGCAGAAATCAAGAGTCAATATTGTGTTTGTATCAGCACCAGATAGTAGACCATATATTCGTTTCATAAACTTTTCATGCAGAAAGCATTAGAATATTACAAGTAAATGATAAGTAAAGACTTGCTAAGATTCTGAGGTAAATATCTGTGGAAAACTATACTTGTATTCAAATTTTCTATATCATTGCATATGTATGAAAAAATAATTATTCTTATAATTAAAATGTTCTAAATATGTTTTCCCTGTTGGTCATTCACTAAAATATGTTTTCCCTGTTGGTTTTATAGTCCATGATCAAAAATAAAATCAAGTGATAATAGCTCTCTTAGACTTGTTAGTAGTCAATCAGTAACTAGATGGCTAACGGTTGCTCATCAGATGATTTTGAGAGGCATGCCTTAGCCTCCAACCATTTTGAACCAGGTGAAGTTTGACCTTGGTTCTTCTCTCTTGAGGCCTATTATCAGACTTTTAAGATTTCTATTATACTTTATTTTCCCTTTTAGTTGAAGGTTAAATCAAGATAGCAATTAATATTTAGAATATAATTGATAATTTGACTTGTCTTTACTTTCAGGATCATGCCTTCAAGAACGGTCCTTTAACTAGAAATACATTTGGTTGAATGATAAATAACCAGCAGAGTTGTTGTAACAATAGCCGTAGGCCAGGATTCTTGCCTATAAAATGGGATATTTATTATACACTATCTTCCTAACCACTCTGAATTCTTAACTTTTCTTGCTTATGAAAACAATTTTCCTAAGCATTTTTAGACACATTATAATTGGTTACCTCCTGAGATATTTACAGATATCTGATGGCCCTAGAATAAAGCCTAGACATAATGCTTTAAACTCTTGAATATGATGTCACTGAAATATTTAATAGGATAAAATGAACATGTTATTCATAAACAATCAAATAATTAAAACATTATTGATGAAGTCATAGTAGAAAAATGATTGAGAAACAAGTGTTTATGCTGATGATATGAAAAGGCTAGAATATCTTAGTTATAACAGACACTTTTTTTTAAACAGTTGAGGAAGATGTAACTGAAAAACAAACCACCAAGCGACCTTCTGAGCAGCCTCTATCTGATGTTGCTCCTCTCTCTCCTAAGCTCCCCAAAATAGAGATGCATGCCTCTCAAGGTAAATAGTATCTACATGTCCCAAGATTGGGAAGAAAAGTCATTCTAAGTGGTATAGACACTGGCTCTTGTATGGTGGTGTTGAGGGCAGGGGGTGTATTTGCCTAATGCATTTTGGCAATTAGGCTACTACTTTGGCAGCTTTGTTGAGCACTCTGTTCTCTTCAGGAGGACGCAGTTATTTTTCTCCTTAGATTAAAAACAAACAATTACAGTAAAAATTTTCTTTCAGCTTTATACTACTAAAAGATACTAGAAAGAGGAATGTAGTGGGGGTGACATTGGTTAATAAAATTATACAGGTTTCAGGTATACAATTCTATAATACAATTTCTGGATATTGTATTATGTGCTTACCACCCCAAGTCAAGTCTCTTTCTATTACTATTTATTCCCCCTCTCTCTTCTTTTACCTCCCCCCTCTCCCGTTCCCTCTGGTAATAATCACCATGTGTGGGGGTTTTTAACCTCTCCAACTTGGTGTTGTTACTTTTTTTAAAAACTTAATATCTTGTAACTTTACTGAATTTGTTGATTCTATTTTTTATTAAGTCGCTTTTTTATTGTTGACACTATTACAGATGTCTCCCATTCGCCCCCCTTTGCTCCTCTCCACCCAACCCCCATACCCCCATCTGCCTTCCAGTCCCTCCACCCCTCTTCCCTCTGAGATCTGACAGTCACTCCAGCCAAAGTTTTAAGTGCCAAACTAGTAGGCAAATTTTAGAAACCAGCTGAGTGATCATAACAAATAGTTGCGAAGAAGGGTTTTCTGAAAGTGAATGCTTTAGTGAGGTGTTCACAGCAACTGTAGGTGATGTCATAGAATAAATTTGGATTTCAGGTCAGTGTCCATGACTATAAATATCAAGGAGGGGATGGCCATATACTTTGTGTTAAAGGCTTGTGGTTTAGTATAGCATGGCTTAAGTGAACTATTATTGAAGACTAGGAGATTTTTGACCTTTTAATAGTATTTGAACTATAAGTCTGTTGAAGATAATTGCCTTTGTCTTTTTTCTTCTAGAAGAACTATTGTCTTCTGAGGAAAACATCATGCCTAAAGAGGAGAAGCTTCCTGAAGAGCCACCACTAAGTCCAGAATATTCTTTGAATCCTGCCAGTGGCGATCCTATAAGCACTGATACAGCAGTCTGCAAGAGTGTTTCTGAAAACATGCCAGTCTCCTTAAGCTCAGCACTAGTGGATACATCATCTAACCAGAGCATTCCCCCTGAATTCCAAATGCAGAAGAACAGTGAAGGTATATTTAAAAACAGTGATTTTAAAGCATTGTGTTTCTCTTTCCTCTTAAGGTTGCCATGTTTAATAACATCCCCTGAGAGTGTATCATATTGGAGAAAGTGCCAAATTGAGGAGGTTGATTCAACTCCACATCTCTGTCAGGGCCAAGCCATTACAGATGCTAAGATTACCTCTGCTGTTAAGTGACATTTGCAGAGTCTGAAGATAGATGTTTATTCTATAAAGGGGTGGTTTATCCTGAATTTTTAGGGACTTTCACAGAATATGAGCTTTTGAAGACAGACCTTCTTAGTACAAGGCTCTAAAAGGTTGCCTCTAATACTAAATATCTTACTTCCAAATGTGTTCCTAACACTACCATGCCAAAGTAGCCTGTATTGGGGCTTGAGAAGGCTACCCGCCGACCTTCCTAGGAAGGGAAAGACTAGTAGTAATAACATTACTTATTAGTAGTTACTTAATAAAAAGCATCATTATCTTCATCACTATCTGACATTATGTGCCCAGCACATAATATTTTGCATAGCCTTATACATAAATCTTTATAATAATTTTTTGTGATGTAGGGTACTGGTAAACATTTTTAGGTGAAAAATCTGTGTAGTCAGTTGACTAAAGTGAAGGTAGCTGGACCAGTTCTTAACCCCAGGCACTCTGGCTCCACGGTCATACTTTTAACTGCCATGTTGCTCTCACATCTCCAGAGAATAGGTAAGCATTTCACTTGAAAATTGTTTAGAAGTGTCATTACTTATTCTTTTCTTTAAGGTATTGGGACTGTTACTTAAAGCTGAATTCATCCCTGATTGCTGGTGTTGCTCACACAACCTTCTGCCCCATTATTTGAATGAAATAAATTGTTGATTTTTATTATAGGAAAGAAATTCAATAACATTGTTGGGGATAAAAATCAAATCACTTTCACTTTATTTTAGAAATAGTTACTGATATCCTACTATTTATAAGGCAAAGCTATTCAGGAGGAAAGCATGGCTGGACTTAATTTTTTACATAGTTTGTTTCATGTAATTATTTGAATAACACTGTTTGCAATATTCTTTGATTATTTTGAAGATATGGGCCTAATTACATTATTTTTCCATAATATATTAAAAATAGATAGTCTTATTGATATTTTGTTTTAATATTACAGTTTTATACCAAAATCATATCTTTACTTATATCTATAGTAATCTATAAAACTAGTTATATGTTATTCAAGTTTACATATATACAATGAAATATTACTTGGCCATAGAACAGAATGTAATCTTATCATTTGTGATAACATGAATGGAACTAGATGGTATTATGCTAAGTGAAACAAGTGAAACAGAGAAAGACAAATACCTTATGATTTCACTTATATGTGGAATGTAAAAAAAACAAAATAAACAAAACAGAAATAGACAATGATAAAAATATACATAACTATATCCCCTCTGTGAACTACTATATCACTTGGTTGGAAAACTGCTTCACATTACCAACAGACTGAAACTATACTAATAGTCTAATTCAGTTTAGACATTTGTTCAATATGTTATAAGTACAACTTTTCTCTTATTCATCATGTAAGATCACTGAAACTCCCTTATCACGGTGAAAGAGCTAGTAAATTGTAAATGGAAAAAAAAGACATAACTATATCATATTCTGTGACAGAAGTTAGAAATACCATAAAACATAAGTTAATTTAGTGGTATGATTCACCTTGCCAATAACTTTATGTTAAATTGAATCTTTCTTCAGTTAAAAAACTTTCTGTTTTAAGTTATTAGAATATCTTAGGTATGATATGGTCTACACCAGCGGTCACCAACTGGTGGTCTGCGGACCACTGGTAATCCTTGAGGTCCGAAAGGTTGGCGACCGCTGGTCTAGTTCATCACTTTTACCTCAGTTGATTCAGCCTAGTAGCATTTCTTGGTAGATATGACCAACATTTTTTATCTCTGACTAGTGGAAGAAGAAGATACATTTTAGTAAAGAGGTTTTATTTCACATCAAAGTTGTGATATTGAAAAAGAAAGTTCTAGGCCATACATAAAAATTGACCATTGTAACTTCTTTTATCTTCTGTTTTCTTTGCCCTTGTCCTCAGTATATACTCAAAATGTCCCTTAAGTATCCAAAGTCCAGATAATAGGAAATAAAGATACACCTTTGGCTAATTTATGCAAAAAAGATCAAATTTGTATTGACACTTCTTGTTTAGAGACATAATATAAATCTTCCTAGTAAATCATACAGTATACAGATGATGTATTGTAGAATTATTTACCTGAAACCTGTATAATTTTATTTATGTCACCCCAATAAATTCAATAAAAAAATAAAAAAAATACAACCCACTGTGTATTCACACACTATAGAAAGTTGAGTGTTCTGGTTGAGTAAATGAATACTTTTCTAGACACAGGGATGTCAGCAAGATTTAGTGAACATCATAGCTAAAACTTTTTGAGGTATGAGCATTTCAATTGTTTCAAGTCTTAGTTACTGATTTTTTTTATAAAACATATAAACCTTCAACCAGATTTGTTAATGTTTATGTATATCTATTACTATGCAAATAAACTTGAAAGAGGTATTTTATATTAAATACCTCAATATAATATTAAAATTATTCTTACATAGATAAACAGAAAATAATGTTGTTTTTTTCAAAATTCAGAAAAGCATTTAAGCCTTGAGAGACAGGAATTTAAATAAAGTAATGCTAAAAATGTCCATATTAAATACATGGGAGAGATTTAGTGAAAGAACTAATTCAGTTATTCTCAAAGATAACAGGGTTTTTGAAATTCATTGATTAAAGTGAATAAATTTAAGCAATTATAAACTAAATTTGGATAATTCCCATTGTATTTAGTTAGCAAAATAAACCTAATCTACACTGAGTGGCCAGATTATTATGATCTCTGAAAGCATAATAATCTGTAATCTGGCTACTTAGCTGTGTGTGTGTGTGTGTGTGTGTGTGTGTGTGTGTGTGTATTAGAGCCCGGTGCATGAATTTGTGCATGGGTGGGATCCGGCCAGCCTGACCAGGGAGAGGGGACATGGGCGGTTGGCTGGCCTGCTTGCTGGTCGAACTCCTGGTGGAGGGGACAATTTGCATGTTAGCCTTTTATTATATAGGATATCCACTGAGTGGCCAGATTATTATGTGTTCAAAGATCATAATAATCTGGCCACTCAGTATAGACAAAGAAGAGAGAAATTCATTGACATACTTAGAGAGTAATAGGTTAGCTTAGATGAACCTAATTTAACCCAAGTAACTGATCTTTTACTATATTTGCCTGTGGCCAAAGAGACCTTGGATTGCTGTCTGTTTTATGAGCTTTGAAGCTTTACAGTAACTTCGGAAGCTGCTGTTGTTCGTGGGCAGTCTCATGGGACGCTCATGGGTACCCATCCTCACATCATCTTTATCTAAGCTTCACTGGATTTTACACTTGGATTCCTGGGTCCTTGCCAGGGTACCTAACAGATGCTTCCAGGAATGAGGCCATTACTTCCTACCTAACATCTCTTCTTTCAGGATAATGATCAGGTCAAGTATGATTTGTCTTTTTTCCCCCCATTGAAGCTCCAAGTTATATAGCTGTACCTGACCCCAGTGTCCTGAAGCAAGGCTTCTCTAAGGACCCTTCAACCTGGTGTGTGGATGAAGTGATACAGTTTATGAAACATAAAGATCCTCAGATATCAGGCCCCCTCGCCGACCTCTTCAGGCAACATGTAATGTATCTTTTGATCCGGTTTTCCTGCCTTTGAATGACTTCTGTGCAGGCTCTTCAGTTGGATGCTGATTAGTGTGGATGGTGGGGAACCCTATCAACTGATTTTTCCATGTGTGAGAAAGGTTACCTTGCTCAAAGTTAGATCCTTAAGTGGTAGAGGCTGGATCTATACTTTAAATGGGTACCCGAGTACCTAAAATACTACAAGTCTTCAAGTTCTCAAGAGAAGATGACTCAGCATGGTCACTCACTCTCAGGTGTCTTCTCCTTTGTAACGGCAGCTACCAGGATTCTCCTCCCCACCTGCTGCCTGCTCAGCCCCAGGACCATGAGTAGGAGGTGGTGACCACACGCTGTAACAGGGTATCCATCTTGTTTTGATGCCCAATGAATTCAGCAACTGTATAAGATTAAGTGCAGCTTTATTTTACGAATACCAAATAATATGCTTCTGTGACATAAATTGGTAATTAAGGAAATAAAGAATTTTAGGAGGATGCCTTATGTCTATTAAATAATATGTTTATATTTTCTAATAAATCATACTTGTGACCAAATATCTGATGTATCCTTTTCAATATTGTAAGAAAATTACTGATTACAACAAACTGATTAGCTTTCAAAATAAACACAACCCTGTATACCACATTTACAGTTTGCGTTGATGTTGACATATTCATATTCCAGCCTGTCTAAGATAGTTAATGGACGTCTGAAATTCATTTCTACCGCTTACAGGTTTCTGCCCTTTGTCACAGATAATGTAGTATTTTATTCAACATACAATATTTAAAATTAGCTAGTTTGATGCTTAGGCCATTAAAAAAAAAGATACTGGGTTCAATTTCCTTTTCCTTAAAATTTGAAGTGAATTTAAAAATGATCAAACGATGCTTTACTATATAAATTATATTTTATATAGTTCTCAGGGAACAAATGTCTATTCAGACAATATATATTGGGAATGTACAGCTGCTCTCTTTGAAATGTTCTTATGTGTAAATAACCTGACAAAATATGAATGCATTATTAATTTTTATAATTTCTTTCTTTCTATAGGAAATTGATGGAAAAGCTCTGCTACTACTCAAAAGCGATGTTGTAATGAAGTATATGGGGCTGAAGTTGGGGCCAGCTCTAAAGTTATGCTACCACATTGAAAAGCTTAAAGAAGGGAAACCCAGTTTTAAAAATGTATAAGTTTGTATTAGCCCTGATTCTCAGTTGTCCTGATAATTTATTAATCTAAAAGTACTTTTATTCTCTTAACAGTTTTAGTTTTCTAGACTGTTCCTAAAAAGAATGTATTGCAGAATTGCAGAGCTACATTACAGTCCGGTCTACATCTTTAAATGCCATTTTATGCACTAGTAGTAGGATATTCAAATTGGCAACTTTTGTATGTCTTTATTATTTTATAGTTGATTATTTTATCATATAGTTTACAAGAATACTTCAGGTAGGAAACAGAGAAACACCTTTGATTTCAGTTAATGTTTATATTTAGAACTAAAACAGCTAAATTCCAAAGGGGAAAGTATCAGGGATTGACAAGTTCTCTAATAAAATCCATGAGAAGTTGTCCTTAGAAGAGAATTTAAAGATACAACAGCAGAATCATCTCTTTCTCAAATGTTTTGTCTGTTATACCAGTGTTCTGTTCATGTTCTACCAGTTTCCAGAAAGGGAATAACCATATAAATTATTACCCTTTTGTTATTTCTCTGTATGTTATATTTGTTTGTATTTAAAGAAAAAAGCAAGCTTATAAAGTGTTTTCATAAAGTGTTCTGTTTTTGATAAATTTCAAACAATTATAAGCTAGATAGAATAGTTGCTTTATGTAGGAGATATTATACTAAAAGGGTGTCTTGGATGGAGTCTGGTTAATTTTCTTTCAATGGAATACCTATTATTTTAAAACAACATAAGTAGGCATTCATTTCTCAAATCTCTATTTGAAGACAGCCATGCCCAAATTTTTACAAGATATATGTTTTATTGTCTGTGTTTATTCCTCATATGGATACTATACCATATTTATATATTATTCTATACCTGTAGGTGTACAAAGAAATAAATCTGTTCTTTTTGAATTTAATATGGCACTTTACACTGCCACAGAGGTAATGGTAACTATTTATATAATCAGACGTTTTTATTCTGTAAAAGAATATGTGCATCATTTGCTATCATTAGTACCTCTCAGCTTAGTCTTCAGGGGATAAGAAACAATTCATAGATTGGTTTCCCTACAGGGAAGTTCTCTGTCCTATGCAATGTTTCTAATTTGCTTAGTTCTGAGCCATTTATTCTGCTAAATTTTGGAAGATGCAGTAATTCTGACATCATTTAGGCTTTAATTTTAAAGTAGAACTTTCAGGGGGAAATGGTGCTATATGTTTATTGTTATTACTTTGTATAACTTTGGAGTAATGTTTATAAGCTATGAGAATTTGTGCTAAAAGTATTAGCCACTTGTTGAAAATGCCAACGAAATATACACCAGGGGCAAGAATGTTCATTTTATTTTTTAGAAAAGCAAATGTACTTTATACAAGAATGCAACTATTTAAAGGGTGGTTTCACCTATGTTATTTCTTTTGTGTTATAAGATAAAATTTAATTTAAACTTGGTCTTCTCTCAAATTGTTTGGGTGAAGATACTGTGTCCAGTTGAACAGTCCTCAGGTGTTTATACAAATACTATGTTTTACAGTTATCAGATTTTAAAATATAATAAAGTTAAATAATTGAAAAAACTGGTGTCAGAGCCTCAGTTATGATTTGCTTTCACCTTATTACATTTATATATGAATTGGGTATGTTGTAAAAGAAGTACTCTAGTAAGTTTGTGGTTTTATATGTCCAAATACTTGAGTTTAACACTTGACCTCATTCTATGGGTGAACAGATTCATAGAGGTAAAGGACTGGTCTCTTGTAGGGGCCTGAAATAAGAACAGGGGGACAGTCAGAAGTTAAATCAGTGAGCCTTATCTGGCTTTAGCAGTGGTATCATCACTGTGGAGAGATATGAAGACAGAAGCTCCGCTCCTCCCCTCAAGCTGCCTAGCACATCTTTGAGGTTATTCAACATTCATGGAAAGGAGAACCTCAGGCTGCTTACAGCATGTGTGAGCTCCAAGGGATTGTGAGTTGTGTCAAATCTGTCATTAGAACAAGAACTAAAGCACCCAATTAAGCTCATTAATTTATGGCAGTGTTTCCCAAACTTTTGGCATATGTATACCCCTTCTATAATTTTTGTAACACTGAGTACCCCTCGTACTCATGAGAACGTAGAATTAGGTGCAGCCAAGCATGGTGCAGTGCATATCCCCACCAAACTCTGGTGCAACGTGTACCCCCACCAAACTCTTCCCGTACCCCTGGGGGTACACGTACCACAGTTTGGGGAACACTGATTTATGGGAATAACCCCTCAGAGGCAAGGGGGCAGCCAGGGCAGGGCTATAGCCTCTGCAGGACCCACTCCACCTTTGGCCTCCCCTCTCCACCTGCCTGGAGAGGCCTGGGCCACTCAAGTCCCTTGACATGTAGGGGGTGGGGAGAGTTATGCTCCACCAGGTACAGAAGTTAATTCACTGGGAGCAGGTTGAATGTGTCAATGTTAGATTTACATAAGAGACATTAAGGCCTTAGACATTAATGTATGAATGTACTGGGTGGTGGTGACAGTTGTGACCACCCAAACCAGAAGACACTGGTGAGGAAGATGTTCATGGTCCTAGAAAATTTTGATGAGGCATCGATGAATGAAGCTACCTAATTTTTTTTTTATGATGGAATGAACTAGATTTAACAAATCAGCTATGTGGTCTGAAGTTTTATAGACACAGAGAACATCAGCTGTTACTAGTTCAATAATTAAATATTTTGTATATCATATTTAAAAAAAAAAACCCTGAAGAAACATAGTATACACTGCACAGTGTGGCAGGACTGCCATTCTGTTAAATGAACTTACAGTTGTTTCTAAAACTCATCAGTTTATGACATCTCAGGGTGCTTTTCTGGGAGAATCAATTGTCAGAATCATTAACAACCCTCCCCAAAAGCTGCCTCTTTTCCTCTTGAGCCTTCTGGTGAATTCCTCCAAGCACCAAGCCTGGTTATTTCAAAGTTTTTAGGACTCTCTCTTCATTTGGTTATTCCAGTATTATTTCTCTTAATGTTGTTTGCTTTTTAGACAAAGGGATTAATTTCATTTTCCTTCTTTCCCCACTTATGTCTTAAGGATCCCCCCTTAGCCATGATGGCACTGCTAAAGCCAGGGAAGGTGGTCCCGGAGCGCACCAGATTTGCTTCTCATGTAGTGGGGAACGTGGGCAAGCTTGGACTGAGTCTGCATTCACTGGGGAGAGATGCTTTCAAGGTTCAATTCCGTTAGGCTGCTCGATAAGAGGGGGAATGTCAGGAGGGAGTAGAACACTGTCCACCATGCATTCTGAAGGATGGCCCTGGTTTGTGCCCTGTCCTGTAGCCCTCTCATTCCTTGGATCAGCATGACAGGTCTTACAGATACAAGCCTGACTCCTGCATATACCTGAAAAGCTCCTCAGGGTTAATTTTTGCCAATATATCCTGTGTTCACAGGTCCCTCCTGGAAAGTCCACTTAAATTAACATTACTGTGAATGACAGCACTAGGAGGTGGCTTTCTACACATCATGAATTTCCTGTTATAACCTTGATAGTTTGCCCACTTTTCCTAAGTCTTTGTTTTACGTGCCCTAATTATTCTTGCCACTACATTAGCAGTTGACATCACGGTTACATAACGTGCTAGACTGGGTTTGGGAATTGGAAGTTTTGTGTCACACCCTCTTCCAAGTTTTCTTTGGGTTGAAGTGCTTCAAATAAAGTATCTGCCAGGTTAGGATGTTTAGGAAGGTGACATGATGCCCTAGGCTGTTGGCACTAATAGACCCAAAATGTATTTTGTTTCCAATACAGTAAAGTGTATTTCTTGGTCATAGTCCCAAGCAGAGGTCCCACTTGTCTTTGTTGGTTTGGGAACCCAGACTCCTTCCATCATGTAGCTGCACCTTCTTCTGGGGCCTTGGGATCCTTGAATCAAGTGGTAGGGGGCATGGCATACTTCTCTTTCCATTTTTTTTTGTCAGGCTCAGTTTTGTGGCCATACCAGACTATAATACTAACCAAAAAAGTGTGTGCCTAGAAAAAAGGGAAAGCAGATATTTGGTAAATACCTAGCAGTCTTGATCATGCATTGTGATCCTAATAACAAACCATAACACAGTAGTACTTATTTGAAATTTCTTAATTTCCCTGTTATATTCCCTACCTCATGATACTCGGACACCTGGCTCTTCCAGTCCACTCTCCCTGCTTTATTTTCTCTATTTTGTTTAAACTTGGGATGGGTTATATTATTGTTCTCAGTCCTTGACTCTTCCCTTCCCTGTAAAAGGATCTTGCAACCCATCCATTGTCATGAGACTTGCAGAACCTCCCTGAAGGCAAAATGTAGTGCCCACCCATTTGTTGTCCCTGAACCCTGCTTTGGCCCATGAGACGTAAGTGGATGAGAAACACATCAGATCCCAGTAGGAGCTTCACAATGGCTTCTTGATCAACTCTCTCATCCATTGCCTCTGCTATGAGCACAGTGTGTGCCAAGTAGGGGCTGCTCCTTCAGACTTGATTCTGGAGCAAGAAGGCACATGGGGCTAGGCCAAGCCATCTGTTACTTCTTATGGAATATGTGAGACAAATGTAAAGGCATGTGGTTCTAAGTTACTGGGTTTTTTTGGACTTAATACTATGGCTCAAAAATATGGTGAAATATGGCTGATGCACTTTCTGACACTTTATTTGTACATTAGATGTCTTTCCCCACTAGAATGAACTCTTCATTAAGGCAGCAAGTCTCCTGAGCTTGTTTCCTTCTGTCCCTTATCTCCATATTGGCACCTAGCACAAGACCATTGGAAAACATAAATATTTACATTACGATTCATAACAGTAGAAAAATTACAGTTAGGACGAAGCAACGAAAATAATTTTATGGTTGGGGATCACCACAACATGAGGAACTGTATTAAAGGGTAGCAACATTAGAAAGGTTGAGAACCACTGGAAAGGAATAGAGGTCAGTGTCCCTGAATAAACAGTCAGGTATTGCATTTTTAAAAATTCTCGTGGCATACCAGTT